CTTCTAGGAATTTTTTAGAAGAAAGCGAAATCCCTGATTAGTAAAGATAAATGCACCCCTCTGTTCATTGCTGCATTATTAAATAGCCAAGATATGGAAGTAACCTAAGTGTCCATCAGTAGATGAATGGATAAAGAAGAGGTGATACATATACAGAATGGAATATTATTCCGCCATAAAAAGAAAAGAAATCTTGCCATTTGCAACAACATGGATGGATCTAGAGGGTGTTATGATCAGTGAAATAAGCCAGGTGGGGAAAGACAAATGACATATGATTTCACTTATTTGTGGAATATAAAAACAAAGCGAAACAGAGGGAACAAAACATCAGTAGACTCAGTCACAGAAGTAAGGCAGAGGCAGTGAGAGCTCTGAGCTGGTACAACAACCTGTGCATGTATAGCTTGAATGTTCGTGTGTTGAATGTTTGGGCTTTGAATGCCTAGGAGAGCGGGAGATAAGGATGGAGGGGGAGAGTCCTCAAGGCCCTGGCGTAGAGTGCCAAGAGGTTTTGACTCTACCTTGTAGACATGGGGAGCTACTGGAATGTTTTAGGTAAGTGACTGACAGTATAATTTCTTTCAGAAAAATTACCTTGGCAACATAAAGATATATTGGAAGGAAATGATATAAGTTTGAAAGTGAGAAAGGTCTGAAAAAGCTGAGGGGTTGGGAATGGAGGGAAGATAAACCTATTAAACCTTTGAGCGTATTACATGCATAATACCCGAAGAACAGCTAAGTTAAAATATCCGGTTGGAAGTTGGAAATAGCAGTCATGCTCAGAAGGGAGCTGGATTTAGGAGCATTAATAAGTAAGCACAGACTGAAACCATGAAGAGAGAATGACGATACTTTGGGAAAGCATGTAGGGGAGGAGTAAAGGGGCCAAAGGCTGAATTCTGGTAAATAACAGTATCTGAAGTCAGCAGGAAAGATATTGAGAGGATGGTTGGGTTACAAAGAGCTAAAGAGTGAAGGATGGTGGTTAGGAATCTGCTGTTTTAAGAGGGTTGAATGGGAGGGAAAGTAAAGAGAGGGCTGAAGTAAGAGAAGGCTGCAGAGTGGAAGTTTGCTATTTTGTTACATTTGCGAGGCAAAGATTAGTGAAGAGGTCACAGCCACGGGAGGGACTGGGTTAGAGAATGGAGCTGGGAGAGAGGATCCGATGCAAACCTGGAGGCATTAGTCCAAGGCAAGGGAGGTGGGGGGCACTTATTCTGCCAAGAAAGGATAGAGGGAATCAGAAAAGTGTTTGGTTTAGTGGTTCTCACTTTAAAATCACTGACATAACTTTCAGAAAGTGCTGAGAGCTGGGCACCACTTCGAAGTGTCTGGTTTAATTAGGCTGGGATGGGTCCTGGGCATTGGTTTGCTGTCAGAGCTTCCCAGGTGATTAAAATCTGCAGTTAATGTTGAGAATCCCTGGTTTAATTGTAGGTATCTTTCTAGATTGGTGATAACAGGATAGGATTTGAGAAAACTCACACTTGATAAAGGTTAGATGAATAGAAGGTGTTAAAGGTTTGGGACAGGTGAGGAAAAGAGAAAGAGAAGCAAGTCTGAAGGGAAAGGACCAAAAACAACTTAGTGACTTTTATGGGCCACTGAAGTAGAAATGAATGAGGCTTGGTTCTCGTTCTCAAAGATTGGGAGAAAAGTAAGAGAGAGACACCTCATAACAACCCAGTGACAATGCAGAATTCTTTATCAGTAAGGGTTGAGTTGTTTTGGTGTTGCTATTTTGCTACCTTTTTACTAAAAGTGGGGAAAAAAATCCAGCTGTTTCACAGTATGGACTGGGTCTGGAAATACTTCTGTAAGCAGTAAAAGGAACCTTTCTAGGAAAGTGGGTGTTGGAGAAAGAATTCTAATTATCCGGGGAGATCAGACTGTTCCCAGTTTTATGCACAGGACTGCGAGAAGATGACGGCTCTGACCTGGGATGTGGGCATTACTAGGATTACCTGTACCTGGCAGGTGACTGAAACTGCTGATCACTCACCCTGGAGAACTCTGATGCCATCTGGCGAGGTGTGAAGCTTTTATGTTTGAGCAATGTACTGAGATTCCCACTTCTCAGCAGAGGTGCTGGGAAAGGGCCTTCCTTTTCCCGGGAGTAGGGGACCTAATCCCGGCCACTGTGCTCTGGGCCTGCCAGTCGGGAACGGCATCATCTGCAGGGCAGCAGGCCCCTCTCTCAGCCAGGACTTCCCCTGGAGAGTGTCTACTTCCTCTTCTTGACCTCTTTGCTTGTTTTCAGGGAGACCCAACCTCCCAGGGATGCTGAGAGGTCTCTGGATCTGCTTGTCCCAGCCCTGCTGCCTCAGGTCCATGAGCTGGGGAGGAGTTGAAAGAGCTTTTGAGGGCCCTGGCTTTTGGCTGGGAGCCCCCGTCCTTAGGCAAGATCCCCAAAAGCACTAGGAATCCTCTGGGCTCAAAACAAAGAGGGAAAGTTTGATTGGAAATTGACGGGGCATTGTGGGTATGTGGAGGGGGCTCTTTCTGCTACCTTACTAGCCCCAGTTTTTATAAACAAGAATGGAGGCTTGAAGAAATTAAGAAACTTGCCCATGTCCTTAAAGCTAGGAGCTAAGCACTGGAAGCTCAGTGTGCTCCACTCTACTATCATGCAGGCTCTTGACCTCCCTGTGTCCCTATAGTTTGGGCCCCTTGGGAACATCCCTGTTGGCTGTCACCTCAGCATTCTCCTCTCCCCTAAGGAACCAGGCTACGTCCCTTGGGCCTCAGGGCGTTCAGGCCTCCTCTTTGGGTCTCCATTTTTTCACTCCTCAATTAAAGATGTGTGGAACCAAGATGGGTTTCCAGCCTAGGGGTGAAGGTGTGGGGTGGTCCTGAGAGTTGACACATGGGACACGCCACACCAAGAATTAGATGTTGGACCTCTCTGCTGTCAGCCACTATTTTTGTTACTGAGATATAATTGAAAGCCCCCAATCTCACCCTTAGAGAAGAAAAAGGAGACACCAGGTTTATTCCAGCTTGATTCTTGGTATCTGCTAATCCTGAAGTCTCATCTGTTGACATCCTGACTTTGGTTTCAGGCTTTAGGTGGGGCCAGTCTACAGAATTACCTGTAATTCTGGGGTCAGAAACCCTGTTTCTGATACATTGGGTCCACTGGAGGTCTGTGAAACAGGCTAGCGTCACGTGTGTACACTTCACACTGAGCCTGCTGGCTACCAGCTGGGGCCATGACAGCTAGGGCACCCCAACTGTGTGTCACATTACACACTTGCTGCCTAGCACTGGGGGGTGTGCTCTGGTAAGGACTGAGGACACTCTAAGCCCGCCCTGTCTCCCTTTACCCTTTCCCAGCTCTCCTGCCTCTTGTCCCTCTGACACCTGGTTGTGGTCACTTCCAGGACCTCCGGGGCAAACCAGGGCCTGGCATGTGATAGGTACCAAGCAAATGAGCACCCGGATGCCTGCAGGGACTTGGGTACCTGAAAAGATAATTCTGCATATTTTATGCAGTCTGGGTGCTGAGTCACTTGCTGACCCATGGGGTGGGAAGGGGGTTGAGACAGGCAAGGGTTTGGACAAAGAAGGGTAGTTTCTTAAGGTTCTCCATCTTTGAATTGTCACCATGCAGGTGAAGGTGGCTCTGTTTCTCATCTTTGGTCAGGTTAGGATGGATGATGGTAAGGGATAAGATTAGGTCTCAGGAAGAAATTTCACCAGGGGGGAGCAAAAATCCCCAAACAAGTGAGGAACAGAGGCCGGGTATCTCCTTCTCTGGGACTACTTAACCAAAGGGTTGGGTGAGAAGGTACCAGGATGGGAAGCTGGAGAATGTTGTGATGTTGGAGGGCCTTGCCCTGCTGGGCAGGAGCCTGTAAAGGTGCTTTTCAAGGTAAGGTTACTTCCTTGAAGGTAAGGTTACTTTTGGAGGTTACTACTGTAGGTAAGTGCCAGGTTGCACAGCAATGTTACTAATGATAATATAATACTTTGCTTTCTCCTGCTCCCAGGAGAGCATGGAGTTCCCACAGCCTAGACTTTTACGGTGGTGTCACTCTTGTTGGGTTCACAGCTATTGCCCCACTTCATGAACCCCAAGTGGTTTCTGGGCATGCTCTAAAGGCAGAACTGCCCCGATTATGTGGGATTTTATGTGATCCCCACAGTCCCTCTGGAGAACCCTTCACTCCAGGGCATCTGAAGCCCTTGGGGCCAAGAGTCCTGCCTGCTTGTGGTTAGGGCACCAACTGGCCCATGAGTTTGGAGGTTTCCTGGGAGAAGGGCCCCTCTCCCAGCCATCCACCTTCCCGGCGCCCTCGCCTTCTCCCCCTCCCCTGCTCCCCCAGGGCAGGGTTCCCTTTGTAATTAATCCCAACTCTCAAACCAGAGGGGAGGAAGAAGTGTTAATGAGGGAGCGCCCCAGACCGACTGGGCGGCTGCCGCTCGCAGCTAGAACACTGGGTAATTAAATTATTTTTGTAAGCGGGGGGGATATGGTGGTGCTGCTGTCAGGGAAATCCCCGTATGCCTGGGAAGAGGGGAGCGTCTCTCTCCACTAATTAAAATCAAGGATGACTCTCCCTTCTTGCAGCCCTAGGGGGAAAAACATCAATCTTTCCAGTTCCCAGATTCCACTGATTTTGTGTAGCCAGGTCTGTGGCCCTAAAGAACTGAACACCGCCATCCCGGGGGTCTAGGGAATCGGTCTCCGCCAGGCGGCTCGAAGGAAACAGCTCCGGCTTGGGGGGGGGGCGGGCAAGGCCAGGAATCGAGGGGTCCCCATGCCACCGTTCAGGGCTGGGGTCGCAGACCCGCCGTTGATTCCCAGGATCCAGCAGGGCTGCCGGGCTTCTGGAGGCTAAGGGTTGGGGGAGCGGCGACTCCTGGAAGAGCCGGGCCGCAGACAATGGACGCGGCGGCGGGAGGGGCGGCGCCTGCAGGAACAGCCGGGAGGCGGCACCCGGGAGCGCGCGCGCCCCCGCCCCCTGCACCCCTCCGCTCTCATCCCCTCCCCCTCGCCCCCTCCTCGCTCTGCTGCCGGCTCCCGATCTGATTCCTGATCCCTGATTTCTTGATCCTTGGTCCCGCCATGGGAGCCTGAGCGACCCCCACTCCCCCCTGGCCCCCTGCCCCCGGGGCCTTGAGGGGGAAGAGGCAGCGGTCTGGGACGGAGAGGGGGTGACCAGGCTCAGCAGCCCCCCTCTACACCCGCCATCGTCCGCGCTGCCCGGCCTGGAGCGCGGAGTTCGGAGCGACCCGGAGCGCTGCGGATACAAAGGCTCCGGGCCGAGCTAGGCGCCCGCCGAGCCCACCCGGCAGTTCGCAGCGGCGGGTGAGTACCGGGCGCGGGGGCGCGGGCAAAGTTTGCACAAAAAAGAAAGAAAAAAAAGAAGCAGAAAAGGAGGACAATCTTGCAAGCGGCCACGGGGTGCCTGGCCCCCGAGCGAGCGGGATAGCTTATGGGGGAAGGGGGGCTCGGAGCAACCCTTTTATGATCGGTTCCCCCACTGCACGGCAGAGTGCCCCCCAACTTTGGGGAGAAGGTGCTCTTGGGGAGGGGGCGGAGCCCAGGCCTGGAGAGCCGGGGACTTTCCTGGGCCTGGGGCTCGGGCAGGGCCCTTAATGATCCCAGGGGAGCCGGTTGAAGCCGGAGCCTGGGAACGTGTGTTAGAGGTGGGGGGAGAGGCGGTGGAGAGATGGGAATCTGGAGGTCTTGGAAGGTGAGCGTGCTTAGGGGCGCACACACCCCTCAGGAGTGTGGGGAGGGAGGGGGTAGGTATGCCTTCAGGGTGGGGGTCTGGGGAGCCGGCCGCAGAGAGTAGAGGGGGTGTATGGGCAGCTCAAGATGGGCTGACGGTGGAAGACCCTCGCAGTGTGTGTGGGGCCCAGGGGACAGGCGCCAGCATCCCTCTCCCTACTGGTATTATCCATCTGGGGGGCTGTAGGAGCTGCATTAGTGAGCTTTAGAGGGTTGGTGGGGGATCAGTGTGCTTGATTCTTTGTTTTTGTATATGCGCCTTGATGTGCTGCAGGATCCTGCAGGTGGGCCCCTGGGTTTGAAGGTGTAGGTGTTTTTCTGAGCCCCAGTGTGTGTGCACCCAGGGAGCAGCTGACCAGGTATCTGCTGTGTGTTTGGCTATGTATTTGTGTGCATACTCTGGGGAAGGGGTGTGTGTCTGTGTGTGGGAACTGGGGAGGGGCTTATAGGAAAGAGGAAGGTGGGTGTGTAGGAGCAGAATGGGACATACCTGGATAGGTGTGTGTGCACCTGCGTACTGGAAAGGGGTGGGAGGGAATCTGTTCTGCATGTGACCTGTATGAGGGACAAGGACCAGTGTGCCCCCAGCTTAGGCGGTGTTTGTGTTTCCGATGTGCTGGGGTATAGTACCTCTTGCCTCTGCAGACAGATGTTCCTGGCAGGAAGCCCAAAGGGAGGGCTGTCTGGGGGGTTTTGAGGCTTCTTGGACGGTCCTGCCCTGGGATCGAGGGTAGTGCCTTCAGTGTCTGACACCTATGGGTGGCAGTGAGTAGGCCCTCTGAAGAGGTACCTGTTTGGGGAGGTGGCTTTTCCTAGAGAAGGGTGTGTGTTTTGGGAAGTAGAGAGCAGGGGTCCTGGTTGTCCTGGAGGAATCTGTGGCACTGGAGGAGTCAGGGAGAAGAATAAGAGGGACTTCCTCCCCCTCCACAGGGTTTGGGGTGTGTGGAGAGGACACATTCTTGGCTTTCCAGCCCAAGTTCAGCCCCCGCAGGTCACAGTTGTCTTGAAAGCTGTGGAGTTTGCTGCTTCGGAGCCCGCTGACTTGGCCTGTCTCTAGGCTCCGGCCTGCCTGGAGGATCCTGCGGATCTTGCGAGGTCCTGGGATTTGGTACAGGACGTACAGGATGGAGGCAGGAGGAAGGAGCATCCTGGAAGGAAAGAGAGCCGGTCCGGAACAACTTAGGTTCTCTGTCCATGGGACTGAGAAGGCGGCACGGGAGCCCTGGGGAGGCCGGTGGAGCTGTTTCCAGAGTTTCTGCAAGTGTGTCTGTGTGGTGTCTCCCATGGTAGCCTTTTCTCACAGGCGTGATTGGGATGGAGCTGTGGTCTGGTGCCAGGGCTGAGGCTGAGGGACAGGGACCCAGCTTGCAAGAAGGCTCTGTCCTTGTGTTGGGGAAGGGGCGAGCACCCATCGCAGACCATATCCATCATCTTGATCGCAGTGGGAAGTGGATCTATCTCTCCCCAGAGAAGCAGCAAACTGCCTCCTTTCCCTCTCGGTCTCCTCTCTCTTGTCCTTTCTCTTTTGGGGTGAAGGGAAGGGGCTGTGCCCATCTCACCTTCTCAGCCATTTCCCTCTTGTTTCCAGAGGTTAGGCTGAGATCCCCAGTTTTAGGAGCTGAGGCTGTGATCACACATGCCCATTAAGGTCTCTGAGTAATTGGAATTGGAATGTTTGAGTCTCTAATGGGCAGTGTGATTGGAATGTTCCTTCCTTAGTCCTCAGGGCTCCCCACCTTCCTAAGGCCCCAGGGATAGTAGTGAGAGTTAGAAAATGTTAGGACTAGGAATAAAGGCAGAGTAGGAAAACACTGGATTAAAAAAAAATGCATGGTTCCCCCAAACCTGAGCCCGTCTGAAGGTAGGGTCCCTAGGGAGAGGGGGGCACCTGCCTGTAGGATGGGGGCTCTGGCCTTCAGGGCACCTTGTTTGCTCTGGTACCCTCTGGGCATGCCAGATGCATTACCCTGGTGGGGGCACTCTTCCGAGGGGAGGAGCTGTGGTTAGACAGTAGGAAGTGCCCTCTCTCCAAGCACTTCCAGGCTGGAACCAGTGGCCACCTGGCCCCCCCTCTCCCATTGTCTTGCTCTTGCCTTCTCCCCCCTCTAATTTTTCCTCTCTGGTGTCCCCCTCTCTGTTCCTTCTGCTCCTTGAGGTCTGGGTCTGAGGAAGGGCCTCCTTCCCTCGCCCTGGGCTGGGACAGACTTGATCTGCTTATCTGGTTTCTAAGAGGTTCTTCCAGTTAGCGGGGGCGTGGACTTGGCTAACAGAACCTTTGTGGAGAAGAGGGGCGAGATGGGGGCCTCCCCCGTTCCCTCTGCATTTTAGGGCCTCCAGTCTTCTTAGCTTGTTCCTCTCTCAGCGGTTCCCCGCACTGTGAGGCCAGACGGAGAGCCTGACAGAGTTGGCTGGAAATAGTGGTGCGACGTTGGGCAAATTCTTAAACCCCATTCCTCAGCCTCTTCCGTGTCTTCAGACGCCACCCTTAGTTAGCCCCAGACAGGGCCTTCCTCAAGGAATCCCAGGGTCCCCCAGCAGCCTCTTTCCCTGGGTCTCAGTTTCCTCTTAAATTCTGGTTTTGCCACTTGTTCTGAGACCTCTGATAGAGTCGGTAACTTTTGGAAGCCTCACCTGTAAAATGGAGTTGAGAATAGGCCCTCCTGTGTAAGTTTATGAGGATTACATGAAGTAATAGAGAGCGCATCGCATGGTGCCCGGCACACAGGAAGCCTTCGGTGACGTTTGCTGGAATGGTTGGGGTTCTGACTGCTGACTTTTAAGTGTGAGAGTGCTGGGTTGGGGAGCAGAGCTGCTCTTCTGGCAGATCCCGTTGGGGGCTGCCTGCTCTGTCAGGCACTGTGTGAGGGGTTAGAGGAGAGACTGAGACGGGCTTTTGTAGGGGAGAAGGGCATGAACATTTCGATTCACTGTAGCCCAGCGAGCGCTCTGTGGAAGTGTGGTCAGGGGGCCACTGGAACATAGAGCAAGAGTGCTGGGCCCTGGGGTGGGCCAGGCAAGGTACCTGGAGATGTGCCCTTAGCTCGCTTTTTTTTTTTTGATGTGAAATTTACATAACATAAAATTCACCATCTTAAAGTGAACATTGAGTACCCTTAGTACGTTAGTGTATGTAGTGACATTCACAGTGTTATGCCACCATGGGCTCTATCTAAAGACATCTTCGCCACCCGGAAGGGAAACCTGTACCTGTTAAGCAATTGCTCTCCATTCCTGAATCCTTCCATCCCTGCCCTTGGCAACTACCAATCTGTGTTGTCTCCATGGATTTAGGCTATTTCATACACATGGACTTATGCATCATGTGACCTTTTTGTCTGGCTTCCTCCTCTTAGCATAATCTTTTCAAGGTTCCATGTTGTAGCATGTAGCAGACCCTCATTCCTTTTCCTGGCCGAATCATATTCCATGCGAGGATGGACCTCAGCTGGATTTGACGGATGAGTTAGGCAGACGAGGAGGGGCTGGAGCGGTTGGCTGCGGGTCAAGGCTGAGCATGAGCTAGAAGGTTTGGGGTGGTGGTGGGGTCGGTGAGCCGAATGCAGTTCGGTGTGATTGGATCTTGAAGTATAAAGTGGGGTTTAGCCTCAGTTTCCCTCCCTGTAAAATGAAGCCCTGAGGGGTTGGTAGGGATGGTTAGGGACAGGAGAGGGTGGGCTATGATTGCCTCTTCTCGGGATCTGGGTGGGAGGTGGCGCTTTAAAAAATTTGCTCTTTTCATCTCTTTCCTGGGCAGCTCCCTTCTCTGTGCATTTACGCTCATCACTGTGGGGAACCAGCTTCCCATTTTACTGGGCATCAGCTTGCCCTCTCTCTGAATTAACCTGAACTTTCTCCTCTTACCCTCTCCAGGTGGGTAACCCTGGTCATGGGGAGGTCCAGGTGATAAAAAGGACCGGGAATAAACATACTCATCCCGCAACCCCAGGAGCCTTCTTCATCCTGTCTCCTGGTGATCTGACTTGAGTAGCCCTCTGTCACCTGCTCTCTTGTGGTCTGGAGAGAAATGAGGTGGGTCCAGGAGAATCTTCCCACCCCTTTCTCCACCTGGAGCAGACTAGAAGCAGAGGCCTTGTGTGGTGGGGCCCTTTGGAAATGAGGTGTTGCTGTGCCTGCCTGATGCCTCTGGTGAGGCTGGTAGTTACAGACATGACAGCTGGGAAGGGGTATGGGAGAAGTGGGGCTCGAAATCAGCAGAGCTGAGGGTATCCTGGTAATCAGGGTGGGGCAGTGAGAGGGGAGAGGGGGAAGGAGCTGGGGGCTGGGTGGGCCGCAGGCCCCTTCCCCCTGCCATTGCACACACAGCTGGGCTTAGTGCCTGCAGGAGAGTGGGAGGTTACTGCTGCCCAGCCCCTGCCTCACTGTACGTGTGGAAGGAGGGAAGAGAGGAGAGAGGCAGGGGGATCCAGGAGCCCCTGGGGAAGAGGCAGAGAGTGGGAAGTCGGCTGTTCTTTCAGGCAGTGCCTAGGTGTGGTCAAAGCTTGGGGGGCACCAACACTGCAGCCAGAGGGCTGCCTCTCTGCTGGGCGGCTTGGCACGTGGGGACTCTGAGCACCATAGCCCATGGGGTCATGTTTTTGATTAGGAGGTGCCTGGCCCTCATTGTCTATAGAGCTTTCCAGCAACCCCCTAACACCATGCCTTAGACCCCTGGTTTTCCCAGAGAGCCCCCCAGCCCTGGCCAAAAGAGAATGTGTGCTTGTAAGTAAGTCTGCAGATTCCCCCTTATTTGGCTTGGGGTCTCCCAGAGTGAGGCCGTGGGAACCAGAAGTGGAGTGGCTCAGCTGTACACCCTCTAAGGGAAAAGGTGTGGGGACTAATATTTTGCTGAGTATTTGTCATGCCTGACTCTGTGATTCTATATAGGTTATTTCATTGAAAGCTCTTAACCTTCTGAAGTAGGCACTATTATCCCCATTTTACAGGTAGGAAAACAGGTTTAAAGAAGGAGAGAGGCTCATTTAGGATTGCATGGCTTCTGAGAGGCGGTGCTGAGTCTGACTTCATTGCTCTTCTATTTCCCAAAGTGCTCTTTCCACTTGTTCCTACTTTTATTCCAGTTAGTATGATTTTGCTCATTATTGCCTTTAATCTTGAACCTGAATAATTCCCTATCTCTTGGAAAGTGGACATGAGTCCACAGATCATGAGGAGAGAAGGAGGGGGCCCCTTCATTCCCACAAGCGTGGGGTGGGGCTGCCTCTCTTCTGGGCGGCTTGGCACGTGGGGACTCTGAGCACCATAGCCCATGGGGTCATGTTTTTTGATTAGGAGGTGCCTGGCCCTCATTGTCCATAGAGCTTTCCAGCAACCCCCTAACACCATGCCTTAGACCCCTGGTTTCCCCAGAGAGCTCCCCAGCCCTGGCCAAAAGAGAATGTGTGCTTGTAGGTAAGTCTGCAAAGGGGGGCTCTGACTTTTAGGGTACATGGGGGTTGGTCAGGACTATGTACTGAGCTCAAGGTGTGAAGGCAGAGACTAAAAAAACAGCTGAGTGTGAAAAGAAAGACTTTTTGTCACCTATTTTACTCTAGGAGTGGGGTGTCAGGTGTAGGGGGGTGGGGGATGTTGAGACCCTTGAGAAAGAGTGCCAGCCTCAGGTGGTGGGTTTGTCGAGAGGGTGGAGGTAGTTCTTCCTTCGGCTTCTCAGCTGGCCCAGTTTTCCCGTGAGAGGCCGGCTTATTGGCCAGATCCGAGGCCCTGGGCTAAGGCACGAGGAGAAGGTTTCCAGAATGTTCAGAAGCCCAGACCTGGTGCCCCTGCATCTCGCACCTGTAGGCTTACCCTGCTGCTTTCCCAGGCAAGCCAGCCTTCGCTGGCACTTTCCCCACATCACAGCTCTCTGCATCCATGTGCAAGCCTAGGGTTGGCTGACACCCCCTTCCCAAGGAGCTGCTCCATCTTCTACTCCAGGCACAGGCTGGATGAGCAGGCCTGGAAGGGCTCCTGGGGTCAGAGACAGTTGGGGCCTACCTAGGGTAGCAGACTACAAATGAGAGGGAGGCATTTTGTTTTTTTGGTGGGGGCTGGTGGGTGGTGGGCGTGTGGCACGCACAAGAAGGTGGCCTGTGGGTCAGCACAGCTTGCTCACCCACCGTTGTCCACCTTCTGTCCCTGGGCACAACTGGGGGTGCCGGTTCTGGCTGGCTCCTCCAGCCTTCTACCTGGAGGGCAGGTAGGGGCCCATCCTTTGCCTCAGTGAGGGAGGAGGAAGCCCAGAGCCTGGTGGCTGGGAATTGTGGGGCCTGCCCATTGGTGGAAACTGAACAACATCCAGGCACCTAGAAGCCCTGGTTACCTTCTCACCAGCCAGCATCCTGTCTCCCCTCAGGCCTCCACCTGGGACAGATGCCAGAGGGATTACTCACCCTTTCTACTGCGCGCTCCCCCCCACCCAGCGTGCCCTTCTAGACTGACTGGGAATGGGTCTGGGGGAAGCTGGGGGCTAAGGGGCTGTGGCGTGTGTGTATGTGTGTGTGTGTATGTGTGTGTGTGCGCGCGTGCGCCCACATGCGTGCGCTTGTGTGTGGGGGAGGTTTTTTCTGAGAGCTGGGCAGGGGCGGGGGTGCCTGAGAGAAGGCAGAGCAGGTCTCTACAGAACCTGCCTGGCCAGGGTGGGTGGAGCTGGGTGGGGCAGGCAGGAGCCATTCCAGGTCTCAGGGGGACTATGTGTGTGGGTGGGATGTGTGTGTGTTTAAGTGTGTCTGTGAGCTGGGAGGGTACCCGGGCTCACTGCTATCTTAGAGAGAAATCAAGGAAATAGGTGGAGAGGGGCTCTGGCTGCCCCAGATTAGAATGAGAGTTCGGTTAGAATGGAAGTTCAGGTGTCCCGGGGGGTCCTTGGGCCCTTCCCTGTGGTGCTCTTGGCGCTGGGGTCCGGGGCAGCTGCTCAGATAGCAGAGCCGCCTGGGGGGCATGGCCCCTCCCCTGCGCCCCAGCCCAGTGAGGAGAGGGATCCTGCCCCCTGCCCCGGGGCTCAGGATGGTGAGCTCATGTCTGGGGCCATCCTGGGAGGGCGGCTGGTGAGCAGGGCGGCGGGGCACCTGTGCCAGCTCCTGGACTCCCTGTCCCGCTCTCCCCTGCCCCTCAGCCTGCTGACACCCAGCTGTTCTCTCTGGCTTCCTGGAAGCACTGTTGCCTGAGGACACCGGGGCCCTTCTCAGGCTGGAGGAATGAGGGGAAGCAAAATCTCCATCCCATCTTCCGTGTAGGGCCTGGGTTCTTTTCATGGTAGGCAAACCCCAGCCTGGGCGTCCTGGGATGGGAGGCCTGTGCATGGCCCGAGGCTGGATGAGATGATCAGGGACCCCCGAGATCCTGGCAGGAGTGGCGGATGGCAGGGCAGAAACCCCCCCTTCGAAGGGCAGGCGCCCTTGGGTCTCGAGCTTCAGGACTTATGCTCCTCGAGTCTCTGTGCCTTCATCACTGGTGAGAAGAGGTAGAGCTGGGGCCAGCACGTTTCTCTCTCCTGTCCCCGGAGCCTCGGCTCTCCCGGACCCCGAAGGAGTTTCCTGGAGGGAGCTGGCGTCACTGTGGGGAGGGCACAGCTCAGAGCCACAGGGCAGTGCTAAGGTCTGTCTAACAAGATGCCAAAATGGGCTGCCTCAGCTGTGTCCCCGGGCTAGCCACCTTCTTCTGGGCCCCACCTTTTTATCTGTGGAACTTGGGGCGGCCTGATGGCCTCTGCCAGCTTAGTGCTGGAACCTGCTGAGCACTGGGCAGGTCATTCACTGTTTCCCCTTGCGGGCAGGGGAATGGTGTGGGCACAGAGATTCTGGCACCTTCTCTCCTCCATGCGAGCCATGGCTGGTGCCTGCATCTCCCCCAACACCGACACCTCCCGCCCCCACTGGTGTCTGACAGGGTGGCTGAATCGAGCACTTCACCGAATCTGGACGAACATGTAGCTCTTTGGATACTGGGCTGGAAGGTGGGACTCCTGGTGCTCCCAGGAAGGTGGGCTTGCAGCACGTGGGGTGGAACCCACTTTGATATCCTTGGACATCAGGGCTGTGGCAGGTGAAGCTAGGGAGGCACGGGGCTGGGCGGCGCCCACAGGTCCACACCTACTGATGGGTTGCAGTGGAACAGGAGGCAGAGGGCATTTGCGGTAATACCCGCTCTTGTGTAGGAATCAGGGCCCTTTAACGGGCGAGGGCCCACAGACTCCTCTGCAGGAGGGGTCTGGAGAGGTGGTCATGTCCATTTCCCTGCACCTGGAAGGCCATTTGTTTAAAAAGTGGCCCTATTGGAAGAGAACGTTTGGCTTCCTGATCTCTCTGATGTCCTCTTTCCCCCTCCAGCTAGAAGTCCAGCCTTAAGTCCAACCCAAGTGCCTTCCACTGCCCCACAAGTCTGGCACCTCCAGCTCTGCCCTTAGGAGAGATGAGGAGCAATAGGCACGCTTTTTAGGTGCATGTTGTGTCCTGTCCCATCCCCACCTTTTCTTCTCTGGCTGAGTGACCCTGGCTCCCACGGTGCTGTCCCCCAGCCCCGTCGTCATCTCTGTCCTGCCTCCACCCAGGGCCGGAGCAGCGGGAGGAGGAGGTGGTGATTACGGCTGCAGCTGGCTGGTCATTGGTCCTTATCAGGTGCCCCACATGGGAGTGCCCCGGTCTGCGTCCAAGGTCTTGTCCACTTAAGCTGCTCCTCCAAGTGGGGCAATGGGGAAGGGTCCAGCCTTGGTCTGCATTTTGGCCAATGCCAACCCCCTACCAGGGCCTAGTTTCCTCTGCCTGTTGCCAGGTTCTGAGTGTATTTTTTCCAGAGGCCTCCAATTGTTTCCTGAAGAAACCTGATCCCAGAGCTCAGACAAAAGCTGGGGCCGCCAAAGGAGAAACCCCATTCTCTCCCCCTGTCCCTCCCCCCGTCCCCCCCAATAACCTCCCTCGCTTTGGATGCTGGGTATGGGTTCCAGGACCTGGCTGCCATCACCTAGGCAACAGGGGGCTTTGGTTGCCATGGTGATCAATGTGGGAGAAGCTGGGCAGCCGGGACAAAAGCCCCCACATTCCCCCCAGCCCTCCCCCCAATCCCCTTGGGATGATACTGAGACACATTCCATTAATTTTATTTCTGAAAGGCCTTTGGAGGGGAGAAGGGTCTCTTTTTTGTGATGGGCTCTCTCTTCCCTCCCTCTCTCCTCTCTGGCCTCCTTTTAACCCCAGATATTCCATGGTTGGTTTGAGCAGGGGGCTGAGTGAGGGTGCTGGTGTGTCTTGCAGGTGGGGGCAAGGTGAAAGCCATGGGGCACCTTCCCTTTTACTGCCTCCCAGCCCCCAAACCGGGCCCTCCCCACCCTGCACCGTGTCCGGACTTCCCTCCTGGTTCCGTCACGCCTCTGACATTTCCACTTGTTGATCTCATCCACTGATCCCTCCCCCACGTTCTATTCCCTGGGAACGTGGCCCACCCGGGAGACCCTCCAAATCCCTGATTCTTGAGACTGATTCAGCCAGGGACGCTTCTGCCCTTCTCTGTGCTCACCTCCCGTCCCTCCCCTCAGCCTCCCCAGTGCTAGGATCAGCAATGTGGGGTACTTGAGGGCATAGCAGGCAAACGTCTCAGACGTGGGGTTTGTTTTCCAACCTCCTGGTTTGTAGGGGAGGGAGGAGTGTGTTTTGATGTTTTCTGGATCCGCAAGTTGGGTTGGCAGGGGTGGGTGAAGCAGGCCGGTGGTGGGCAGGGTTTATGTTGGGTCTTTAATAAGTAGCTGGGGGGTATGTAGGGGCTCTAGGCTGAGCAGCTTGGAACAAAGGGTTGGGAGGGAACTGGCACCTTTGTCTGGTTTGAAATTTATCTGCAGAGGAAACACAATGGCATCAGCTTCCCTCCTGGGTGTGTTTGAAGTGGTGGTTCTGATCAGGGTGTGTGTGGTTTGTGTGTGTGTAAGAGAGGGGGGGGGGGGGAGACTTCTTTATTTAGTCATCCAAACAGCAGGATTTATTTATACCACCTCTTTCCCAAGTCTCGGAGGAAGAGTATGAGTGACCTGGAGCCAGTATGTATTAATTGCTTAACTAATTACTAGCTGAGCAGTTTATTAAAGCACTTTTTTCACCCCCAGGATCCTCATAGCAACCTCAACAAGTATATATCATCATTTCCCCTATTTTGCTAATGAGCCCACCCAGCTACAAAGCACAGAGAACTTAAGTAACTTGCCCGTGGTCACACAGCCCACCAGTGGGCAAGTCAGGTTTTGAATGCAAAGCCTGGGGTGCAAATCCCATGCCCTTTCTGCCATTGGCTCTGGCAGATGTGTTCAGGGTGAAGCTGAGGAGGTGGGGAGCCCGGTTCTGTGTGTGTCTCTCTCTTGGCGCCCTTCTGGGGAAGTCCTTTGCTCCTGTACTTCTCCCCTCGGCTTGTGGTGTAACCCACTTGCTCTCTTTGATCCTGCTGATGAAATCTGGTTTTTAGGAGGAGGGCTAGAAAGAACAGGCTGAACCACAGCAGGAGATGAGCAGGCGAGCTGCCTAAATATTGAGGACTAACCCAGAGGAATGGGTTTTCAGGAGATGGGGTAGAGGGGCCCAACATGGGATTTGCAGTCGGTGATGAACAAGGGCCCTGTCTATGGCAAAGGCTTTCAGAAAGGTTTAGGGTTGGGTTATTAAGGTATTAAGTCTGGGGCCCCCAAGTGTGTCATTATCACACACTTGCCGCGATGTGGGGATGTTGACAAACATCCCTGGGCCATGGATTGCCTTCACACAGCTCTGTCAGGGGGATGGATGAATGGACCTAGCGTGGGTTTCATCTCCCTACAGTGGCTGCAGTTTCCCTGAGAGCCGAAGAGGCAGGCTCACTGAAGTGGGGGGTATTCATTACTTGCCGTGTGCCCACAGGAGGCGGTGGGCACAAATACGTGTCAGTCATGTGTCTTCTTCTCAAGTTGCTGATGAGTCAGTCGGTCAGTGTGGTTGCAGGAAAGTTAACAGCTACACAAAGCGATGCAATTGTAGTTCTTCACATAATTGACTTCTCGGTGTATTTGACCTGGTTGATTTATTCCCACCTCAGAACGCTCTTCGGTTCTTGGCTGCCTGGAGAGCCCGGGCTCCTGGTCTTCCGGCTCCTCTGGCCTCACCTTCCCAGCCCCATTGTCTGCTCCTTTTCCTCTGGGCACACTTGCATGCTGGGGGTCTCAGGGCCCTCGCATTTCCTCTTCTCCTGCGGTGACTCTGTCTGTTTGCAGGGCCTCGTGCACTGTCAGTACCTCCAGCTCAGGTGCCTCCGAGTCCAGCTCCGTTGACACCAGCTGCCCACCCCACCACGTCTCCTGGCCTTGAACTGAGCCCTGTGGCCCCTGCCTCTTGGTCTTCCTCTCCAGTCGTCCCCACCTCCTCACTGCACTAGCACTTAGTCCCTTGCTCAGACCAGAGACTCTGGACCTTCCCCCATCAGCCAGCCCTCAGGTCCTACTCATCCTGCCCTGGCCTGTGCCTGACATGTGACTCACCTCCGCTGCCGCTCTGCCCCATCCATGCCTGCACGGCTGCACTCACCTCCTCACTCATCTTCCTATGTCTGCTTTCCCCCCTTTCCAGTCCGTGTACGTGTGTGGCTAAAATCCTTCGCAGGCTTCCCCACTGTTCTTAGTATAAAACCCCAGCTCGTCACCAGGCCCACCAGGTCTTGTGGGGACCTTGCCCTCAGGTCCCTACTCAGCCTCATGTCCTCAGCTCTGGCTCCACTGGCCACTTCTGGTTGTTTAAATGCACTGAGCTCTCTGCTGCCTGTGGCCTTCCCATGTATGGTTCTCTGCTCCTGGTGAACTCCTGCTCGTCCTTCAGGCTTGGGTATCGTTTTCTTGGAGGATCTTTCCAGAACTCTCCCAGTGTGGAGGATTCCCCACTCCCAGTGTTGTCTCTTGCGCTCCCCTTCTCTCTTTCCCAGGATGAGTCATTCATACTGTTCACTTGATTAGTGTCCTTCTGCCCCTCCAGCCTGTAAACTCAGGGTCTGTTTACCTCTGTACACCCAGGGCCCAGCAGGTCCATGGTCCACGGAAGGTGCCTGAGAAAGAGCTGGTGACCCTGAGTGAAGACAGGAAGCAAGTGCTCAGTGCACAGTGATGTTGCTCAGTGGGTGCAGGGTCAGAGGAAAAGATACAACATTGGGTACTGTGATAGGTGGCAGCGGTGCTGGGCTCAAGAAAGAGCAGGATTTGGGTGAGAGCTGGGCAAGAGGGGAGAAGGTGAGGACCTTCTCCTCTGCAGAATCAGAAGGTGCAGAAGATGCTGCCCCTCAGCCCACCAACAGCCAGATAAACTCACGACCTTGCCCCTTTCAGGCCATTAGGCTTTTGGAGAATGGTTTCTCCTCGCCTTCTCCTCCCTCCCCCCATCACATTATCTGTAGTTTCCACCCCATACTCCGCCCCCCCCAGTGCATGCACGTGTGTATGACCTGGCCAGGAAGTATGGGTATGTTGGACATAGATGCTGGGGAGATGGTGATGAGAGAAGTCAGAGGTGGCCCCCAGTGGGCACACTCGAAGTTGTGAGGGGCGTGGGGAGGATGAGTGGAGGGGGAAGGAGAGGCCTGGGGTAGCCTCTGCACAGCAGCCGGCTTCTTTCTGTTCTCTGAGGTCCCTGTTGGCGCAGCCTGTTCGCCTGGCCAGAACCTGCCCTCTCTGAGCCTTCATTTTCCTGGCTGGATTGTCCTGGATCTACCCTCCAGTGGGTCTCGGGTTGGGGCATTCTGGGTGGCCTTTGCGGGCCATCGTCCCTCCACCCCAAGCCCTTGGCACAGTCTGCGGCTGCTCTTTCTAGGAGGCTGGGCGGGAGGAACTGGGCCCATTGGACAGAGCAGGAACCTGTGTGGGATGTTCTCAGGCAGTAGCTAGGCTCACCTGAGCTTCCTGCAGCTGCCGTGTGGCGATGGTCTTGCTCTCTGCCCTGACCCCGCAGGGAGCACCAGCTACCCCTAACCAGCTGCTTCCTGTCCTCAGGAGCGTCGCTTGATTTTCTCTGAGCCAAGCCCACCCGTCCAGCAAAATAGAGTCCCTCAGGGTGACAGTTGATTTCCTGAAGGTGCCCCTTGGCCTGAAGAAGCCGGTGCTGAAGGAGGTGGCTGTGGGGCCCCCCAAAAGGCCCCCACCTGTGGCCCTGGAGCGCTACAAGGCACGGCGTTCAGACGCCATGGACACCGAGTCCCAGTACTCGGGCTATTCCTACAAGTCGGGCCACTCCCGCAGCTCCCGCAAGCACAGGTGGGCAAGCTTGTGGGGGACACAGGTGGCAGAGGGAGTGTTGGGTTTTGAGGGAGGGGTGTTTGAGAGGTGGGTATATGCATGGCTGGGGTGGCTCCTGGAAGACCTAGGTCCTCCCCTTGACCTTCTGTGCCTGTTCCCCTGGCCTCCTGCTGCAGGGACCGCCGGGACCGACACCGCTCTAAGAGCCGGGACGGGAGCCGTGGGGACAAGTCAGTGACAATCCAGGCTCCGGGAGAGCCCCTGCTGGACAACGAGTCCACGCGAGGGGATGAGCGGGTGAGTGTCAGGGGGATGAGGTCCAGCCAGGTGTTGCCAGACTGAACCGTGGAGAAGCTGGGGGTCCATTAGAGAGGGGAACGGCCTGGGAATATTGTCTCCCAGAACAGGGAGGGCACCTTGTGTCACTCCTCCTTCCGTCTAGGGTCCCGAGGTAGGAGCCTGTTTGAGTAGAATTCAGGCTGATTTCAGTAGCGATTGCTTTGGGAACAGCAGCCTCTTCCTTCCTTATATCCAGAGAGGTGGGGGCGACCTGTCCTGTGCAATGGGAATTGCCTGGTTCCTCTGGGCCGATGCCAGTCGGTGAGGTGGCTGGGAATCTGGAGGAGGGCAATGCTGGGTGTGGCCCCAGGGTGTGGGCAGCCCTGACTTTTCCCTGAGCCTTCCAGTGTGGGAGCTCCAGCGCTCTCTGGTGTCAGCCTACAGAATAGCACAGCCTAGGTCTCAGGGAAAGGAGGTGTGAGGCTGGGGGGACAGTGGGGACCCGTGAGAAGAGTTCTTCGGGACAGGGATAAGTGGGTTGCTTCTGCTCTGACCTTTGTGGCCCACTGTACCCACCTGGTAGGGCTGTCAGCAGGCGAACACAGTGCCAGAATGGGGCAGAGGCCAGGTTGGAGATGACTGTGAGGTTGCCCACGTCTCATTCCTCCTGTTCTTTCTCTTGGGAGCATCTTTGGGGGCTGTAGACTCCTACTTCCTTTCTCCACACCAAGATCTCTGTGACTGACTTGGGTATTCCTGGGTCTCAGGAGCAGATTGATACCCAAGGAACGTTCTTTCTTCCTCTTTCCCACTTCTGACACCTGACTTCTGAGTTCTTGAAGTGAGCCTTAGACATGATCAGCTAGCTCACTTGTTGGGGAGGAGTTACAAGCCCTTCATCCTTGGATGGGGTAGGCAGTATGTCTGGGGGTCAAACTGGCTTGAGGAGTAGATCCAATTCCTTGAGCTGAAAGTGGTCAAAGCATCTACTTTCTATCTTCGAATTAGACCCTTCTCCCGTCCTTGGAAGAGGAGATGTCTCAACCCCTAATCAGTGACCCTACCAGGCGGTCTCCCAAGTCTCAGTCCTGTAGCCTAAATTCCCTGGGTATCAGCCTGTGGCTCCATATCCCCAGGCTGACAAGGAATGAAGGGTGTGGGCCCTGATGGCTGCTGGTGGTCTTGGGCCTTTTGCGTGGATGATTTCCAGCTTCTGGGAGACACAGCTTGAGTGGCACACAGTCAGGAGGACACCTGAGGACCTGGGAGCAGCCTGTCCACACCCTTGCCCCCAGTAACAGGCAGCCCCTGTGCTGTGCGTGGCCAGAGAGCCCAGCAGAGCCTGCTGGGCAACCAGAGACCCCGAGTGGCCCAAGGTCTGCACCATGTCCCCTACGCCCTGCACTCATCAGTCCTCCTTGCCCTCCCTTCCCCCTGCTGCCCTCTTCTCTTCACCACACTATTTTGGTCAGGTCACTCCTTAATTGGAAACCTTGAGTGGCTCTCGAGAAACCTTGGAGTGCCTGGAGGATAGGTGCTTACTGCTTAGTCTGACACTGCAGGGGGCCTGCTCCAGCTCCACCTGGCCCTGTTTGTGGATCCCCTGCTCTCACAATCCTCTGGGTGCCTCAGTCCCCAGGTGCCCCCTGAACCCCCCAGCTCCTACTGAAATCATGGAATGCTGTGAAAGCTGGCAGGAATTAAGGGCAGCACTGAGACAGTTTCAACATTCGAGTGATTCATGAGGATCTGTTCAAATGCAGATCCAGGTTTAGTAAATGTGAGGTGGGCCTGGGATCCCACATTTCCATAAGCTCCCAGGTGATGTCCACACTACTGGTCCACAGGTCACATTTTGAGTAGCCAGGCCTTAGACATCATGCAGTTCAATGATTCTCAATTTTGGATGAACCTGAGAATCATCTGAGGAGCTTTTTTTAAAAAAAGATTGACACCCTCTTGGAGGGGATCTGGGCATTGCTGTTATTTTCCAAGTTCCCTAGGTGATTCTAATGTGTGCATCTAGGGCTGGGAACCACTGATTTGGCCCAACTTCACGTCACCTGCCTCCTGCAAGGGTCAGCTCAGAGTTCCCGGGAAGCCTGCCCTCACGCGCATTGCTTTGCCTAGCGAAGCAGACCTCAGATTCCAGTCACAGCTGGGCAGCTCCCTCAGCCTCTATCTGTGCCCTCTATCTTGAGGGCCATCTGTGCACATCAAGTGTTTTCCTCCCTCGCCGACTGGTGTGAATCTCCCTGAGGACCCAGCACTCAGAGGGCCCATTCCTGCAGAGGCCAGGCTCAGACCCACGGCAGAGCTCAGTGACCATTTCGATGGTTGCATATTTGTTGATTACCCTCTCTCTTTCCCGTGCCTTCCTGTCTTCCCGTCCCTTGTCCGGTCTCCCCTCCTCCTTCCCTTCTCTGCACTCATTGCTGTGGCCTCTCCCGCTGTAGGATGACAACTGGGGGGAGACCACAACGGTGGTGACGGGCACCTCGGAGCACAGCATCTCCCACGATGACCTCACGCGCATCGCCAAGGACATGGAGGACAGTGTCCCGCTGGACTGCTCCCGTCACCTGGGTGTGGCGGCAGGGGCCACGCTGGCACTGCTCTCTTTCCTCACGCCGCTGGCTTTCCTGCTGCTGCCCCCGCTGCTGTGGCGGGAGGAGCTGGAGCCGTGTGGGACGGCCTGCGAGGGCCTCTTCATCTCCGTGGCCTTCAAGCTGCTCATCCTGCTGCTGGGCAGCTGGGCCCTGTTCTTCCGCCGGCCCAAGGCCTCGCTGCCCCGCGTCTTTGTGCTGCGCGCCCTGCTCATGGTGCTCGTCTTCCTGCTCGTCGTCTCCTACTGGCTCTTCTATGGGGTGCGCATCCTGGACGCCCGTGAGCGCAGCTACCAGGGTGTGGTGCAGTTCGCCGTGTCGCTGGTGGACGCTCTGCTCTTCGTGCACTACCTGGCCGTGGTCCTGCTGGAGCTGCGCCAGCTGCAGCCGCAATTCACACTCAAGGTCGTGCGCTCCACTGACGGGGCCAGCCGCTTCTACAACGTGGGCCATCTCAGGTGAGGGCACTAGGGAGCAGGCGGGAATGGGCGTGCGGAGGAGGCCGAGGGTCCTGTGGGGCGGGAGGGGATGGGCTGGGAGGGCTGCCTGGAGGGAGTAGACTACTTCATGCTTAGTGGGTTTTCAACAGCATTGGCTGCTTGCTGGGAGGGTCATGTGCAGGGTTCTGGGGCAAGAAAGGGTGGAGTTAAGTTGGGAGCCAACAGGTGAACACTTGAGATCAGGGACCCTAGGGAGGGGGAGACCAAAGGGGAGAAAGGTATGGCCATGAACAGGGGCTTTTGGGAATCGCTTTTCTAGCTCTTTCTTGGAGGCACATCCTCTCATGAGCCTACTCATGACTGAGTAGTCACTGAGATGAGCTGGCCATGGAGCTGGCCCCCCTTCTGAGGAAACAATACTGGGGGAGTTCTTCAGTCCCCCTAAACTTTTGGGCAGGATGCCCCCAGCCATTCAGAGTACCAGTAGCACCCCCTGGTTCCATAGGGAATCTTGGGGGGAATCTTGCAGGGGATAAGGTGACCTTTGGCTGCGACCCAGGCCCAATGCCCTTTCTTCCCTGGGCTTCAGCACAGCAGGGAAGGACTAGCAGGCCCATCCCTGGGGAAGGGAGCCTGGTAAGTAGGCCTCAGGCCCTGAGCCAGGCTTCTTGGAAGCAGCTTGTCCCTGTCCTGTGTCCTGTCCTGCCCTGCCAGCCTGCCCTGAGTGTCCCTTCCCCTGCGCCCCTTGTCTGTCCCTTCTCCCTACCCCTCCTGCCATCTCCCCCACAGCATTCAGCGCGTGGCCGTGTGGATCCTGGAGAAGTATTACCATGACTTCCCTGTCTACAACCCTGCCCTCCTCAACCTGCCCAAGTCCGTCCTGGCCAAGAAAGTGTCTGGCTTCAAGGTGTATTCCCTCGGAGAGGGTGAGCGGCCCTGCTCCTCCGCCCTCCTGGTCTCTTTCCAAGCAGGTCCCCTCTTCCCTGTCTCACCCTTCTTCCCTTGCTTTCTCCTCTCCTGGCCCATGTCCCAGCCCCTTCTGTTCTGTCATTTCCCTTGGCTCCAGGTGGCTGGTCTTAGCTGCTGATTCGACTTGCTGCCCCCTTATGCTATGGTGTGTCCCTCACTGGCTCCTCCGCGTCGGCTCACCAGCCCCATCCTAAGCCCTCAGCTCTCTGAGCTCCAGAAGCCCCTGCACCGAGCAGCGCGTGCAGGACCCGCTCTCCGGCGCCCTCGCGTGCTCTGCTGCCGGCCTCTCCCAGGCGCGGCCTGGAGGGTGGGAACGGGGTCTGGCGGCGGGTGGGCGCAGCCTCCTCGGGACGCGCCCGGTTGCCGGCTCCGGGTTTCCAGAGTGGGAAGCGAGGCCGCGCCCCGAGGTGACCACCTGTCTCCTTCCTGCTCCCGCGCAGAAAACAGCACCAATAACTCCGCGGGCCAGTCCCGGGCGGTGATCGCAGCCGCGGCGCGGCGGCGGGACAACGGGCACAACGAGTACTACTACGAGGAGGCGGAGCATGAGCGGCGGGTGCGCAAGCGGAGGGCCAGGTGGGTCCGGGGGCTGGCGGCGCTGCACGCTCAGGAGGGGGACCGGGGCTGCCAAGTGCGGGTGGCTGCGGGCGGCCTGGACGGCCTGTCCTTCGCTGCACTGACAACCTGCCATCAGCTCGGCGCTGTGAAGCTTTTATCCCATGGCCCCGTGGGTCAGGCGCAGGCCCGCTGGACCCTCTACTTGGGTCTCAGGCTGAAATCAGCGTGACCGTCCCTTGAGCCTGGGTCCTCGTCCAAGCCCACTGATCGGTGGTGAGCCAGACCCTTGTCGCCTGAACGCATGGGCAGTTCGCTTTCCCTCAAGGCTGGCAGGAATAGGGCTCTGTGACTTCTGCACCTGCCAGAGAAAACGCTGCTTTTAAAGGCCTCATGTGAGATCAGGCCCGCCAGAATCATCTCCTTAAGTTCACCTGGCTTGGCACTTTAGTCATAGCTGTGACATGTACTGAGATTATTGAATAGTTATTGAATCCGGGAGGTGGACGTCCCCACAGTAGATCTTGAGACTTATTCAGCAGATGGCACGTTTTTACATGCAAAAGACGAGGTTTCTAGTGTCCATATCTCGGTAAATTCTCAATTGCTTTCCTCACACCTCCCTTTTCCCCCTTTTCACGTTATGTGGACTTAAGGCTTGCCCGAGGAATCTCTTTTGGTGCTTTCTGCTGCCAAGTCCCAAAATGGGCTGCTGAGATTTCCACAGGGAAGGGGCCTCCACCCCTCCTACTACTCGATTTCCATGCTTCCGGGAAGGAGGGCAGCCTCTTCCTCTTCTCACAGGAGGCTGCTGCCCCTTGCTGCAGATCGCAGATCACAAACCCCATTTCTGTGGCATACCAGTGTGTCTCCACTTGTCTCAGAAACGGCCCTCAGGGGAAGGAAACCGGAGCGGTCCCCTGCCCCCTTTACCTCTGCCCTGATTAGGGTCTTTGGATCTCCTGTGCTGCCACCGTCACTCTCGGCCCATCTGGGAACTTTTCCTTCCCCCGTTACAGTGCTGGTAATCAGAAGAACACCTTTTCCCTTGGTTCACCTGAGACAATAGAATCTTTTCAAAAGGAGCTTCCCTAAGACACTCAGGGGAAGCTAAAGAATAAACAGAGAAACTGCAGATGTACACAGATCCACATGCTTCCTTAGCCCAGAATCCAGTCCCTTCCTAAGATACTTGAAGTTTCCAGGTTCCTGGGTTTCTAAATAACTGGTGTTGTTTTGCATGTGTTTATGCTTTTAATGCAGATTGACTTCTTTTCTCCTGCTTCCCCTAATGTTATGTTTTTGAAATGCAGTGTTGTCTGTACCTCCACTGTGTGGCATCTTATCACTGCACAGTGGTTCATAGAGTACTCCCAACATCCCAGCCAGCACTGGGATTCTGGATTTTTTCTATTTTGCTGGATAAGCAGTATCTTACCAAATGTTAATTCTCTCATTGCTAGCAAGCGACTACTATGTATATTTTGCAGCAGGCTTTCTGGCCTCTTGTAAGTTGTTTGCTCATCTCTCTGCTGGTTTTTCTATACTGTTCTTGCCTTTTTCTTTTTGATTTGCAGCAAATTTTTGCCTGTCCTCCCTTCCCTTGATGTTAATGTTGTCATGGTTGAACAGACATCTGCCCTTTTGATATAGTTTTATCTATTAATTTTTCACCTGATGGAGTATGATTTGGGAGGTCTTACTTAAGGATGCTTTTCCTAGGCTTTGATGCAATGCTGGTCTTCCCTATAGCACAGATCCTAATTGTCTTTCTGGGTTTGACACTAGATCGTCTTCTTAAGAGTCCCTGGACTGGGCTCACCAAGCTCTATAGCTGTTTCCCCTTCCCCTGTAACTGCATCCATGCACAAGCATGCACACCTTCACACATGCACACATGCACATGCAGCCCTGAAAGCCTGGCCCCAGATGGGTGTGTGGTACTGCAGGGACAGCACAAAGGCCCGACCTTGCTCAGGCTGCTGGAGGATTGAGCTGAGGGAAAGATGAGATGTGGGCATCTGGTCCAGACCTCTCCTGTCCCCCAGGCTTGTGGTTGCAGTGGAGGAGGCCTTCACTCACATTAAGCGGCTGCAGGAAGAGGAGCAGAAGAATCCCAGGGAGGTGATGGACCCCCGGGAAGCAGCCCAGGCCATCTTTGCATCCATGGCCCGCGCCATGCAGAAGTACCTTCGGACCACTAAGCAGCAGCCTTACCACACCATGGAGAGCATCCTGCAGCACCTTGAATTTTGCATCACACATGACATGACACCCAAGGTAGGCCGCCCTGCTCCCAGCACCCTTCTCTCCCCTTCCCTTCTCCAGGCCCTGCCACTTCTTTCCACACTCTGTATCCATCTCTCTCTCTCATCTCCATCTCCTTCTCTGGTCTCTTCTCTCATCCCTACCCCATCCACCCCATCTCTGCATGCCCATAGGTGGCAAGGAGAAGGGGAGCTGTTTGGGGAATGGCTGAGACCTGGTGGTCATCTCTGGAAGGGCTCTGGAATTTCCAGATCCCAAACCCCACCTTTACCCGCTTCCATTCCCATAGGTATTCTTTGCTCTGTGCTCTTTCGGAGCCATTACCGGCCCCTCAGCTCTGTTGCCAACTTTTTAGAACTGCATCCTCTGAGCCATCCTTGGCGAATAGCCGACACCTCTAGCTTTCTTCTGGTGCAGCCGTGCTTGGTGATAACAACATGCTGAATGAGGGGGAAGGGAGAGTGCGGGAGGCACTGCTGGGTCATAGCTGGTGCAGGGGGAAGAGCCGAGGGTGAGGGCTCAGAAGACCTGAGCCAAATCCCAGTCCTGACCCTGCTGAGCCGCCTCACCTCTGTGTCTCCCACTTCCTTATTTATAAAACAAACGTCTGAAGCAGATTATTTCAGGCCCCTTCCCACTCTAACATTCTAAGATCGAGTGCAAGAGTGAGCTGGGCGTGTTTTGGTTATCTTTGGTAGCTGTGCCCCAGGGGATGAAGGACGGTGGCGGGTGGGGGAGCTTCCCATGCAGCACCTTCTCCCCTCCGCAGGCCTTCCTGGAGCGGTACCTGGCGGCTGGACCCACCATCCAGTACCACAAGGAGCGCTGGCTGGCCAAGCAGTGGACACTGGTGAGCGAGGAGCCGGTGACCAATGGGCTCAAGGATGGCATCGTTTTCCTCTTAAAACGCCAGGACTTCAGCCTGGTGGTCAGCACCAAGAAGGTCCCATTCTTCAAACTCTCTGAGGAATTTGTGGATCCCAAGTCGCACAAGTTTGTCATGAGGCTGCAGTCTGAGACCTCGGTGTGATTGTGCGGCGGCAGGGGAGTGGGACGGCGGGGCCCCTGAGGGCGGAGGGGGAGCCTGGCTCTCAGGCCTGTGCACAGTCCTGCTGCCCTTCCTCCTCTTGCTGTTTATTTTTACTTGAATTAACTCACCCTCCCTCCCCTGTCTCCTCTCCTCTTCCTCACTTACCTGGGGTGAACTCCGAGAGACCGTCCTGCCGTCGCCAGTACCTGGGGAGCCCCCTCCGTCCCCCACCGTCTGTTTTGTATCACCCCAGGCGCTGCAGGAATCGGTGCCTCTCCCCCCTCCTTTCCTGGATGACATTCTCTTCTGAAAGGGCACAGGGCCCTGCTAAGCCCCTCTCTAGAACCCAGGTGCTCAGAGCAGTTCCTCCAGTGGCCCCCCAAAGGGTGTCTCTGGGGGACACAGACCCGACTCCAGAGAGCCACCGTGCCAGAATCCTCTGGGGCAGCAGCTGCCCACAGCCTGCCAACGGCAGGTTCATCCACTCGGCCCGCCGCTCACCCTGCCCATCACAGACCCTGCGTTCTCAGGGCGGGGGTCCTCCTGTGCGCTCTCACACAGCCACAAAGTCAGGGCTCTCCCTGCCAGGGTTATTGGCTTCCAGTTGTTAAGAGTCTCCCTCCCTCATCTCCACATACTCTGAGCAAGGGAAGATCCCATCCTTTGCTTTGGGGCAGCACCTTCTTCCACTGGGTCTTCCCGGGGCATCCACTGAGGAAGGGTGGAGAAACCCGGTGAACACCACTGACCCCGGCCCTCAGAACCTGCGGCACCTTCATCTCTGCCTTGGTGGGCAGGTTTCCCCCTCCCACTGGAGGATGGCGTGTAGGCTCCTGTACAGATGCAGTGGTTTGCAGACCCTGATCCACACCCCGTGATCTTAAGACAAGTACGTTTCTTTCCTTCACCCGCCACCCACACCCAGTCCTGCTGTCTCCTGTTAGCCACAAAGACCTGTTGTCTCATCTCTTTCTGGTGGGGAGCCAGTAGCTCCCCTTCTTCCCCTGCCTTAAGTCCACATCTTTGCCTCAGGGGTCTCTTTTCCTTGGCCGGCCAGGGTCCCCTCCTTTTCTCTCCCTGCCTGGTTCTCTGGGCTCTGGGCTCTCTCTGTGTGGGGATGAGAGGCCAGGATTGCTGCCTTTTGTGGGTACTTAGCTCTTCACCCCACTGAGCTTTCATTATCTTTACACTCAAATCAAAAATCTCAAGAGTTTAGGTCTCAATTTGAGCAAAATTCACTGACCCTCTAATACATATTTTCAGTGTAAATCTGACACTTTAAGTCAGACACCTCTATATTACATAGTTTTAGCCAAGGAGAATAGGACTAGGAAATACGCACATACCTCCAGCCAGGATCCATGTGGAGGAGGTTCCTGTGTCTGGGCTGAAGCCTGCCCCTGGGCCTATCTAAACAGCTTACAGTGAGTGCCCTTTATAGGCCCATCTTTTTACTGGAAAACTCATTGGTTCTTTCCTTGTGGGGTGCCCCCTGGGAAAAGATCCCATTGATCTCTCACCAGAGAGGCTGCCCAGGCATGATGGAGCCTAGTGATTGGGGTTTCTCCTGCTGTCCTTTCTGAAAAAGCACATCTTCCCCGCACCCCACTTACTAGGAGGGGCTCTTCAGCCAATGCTTACCTTGTCCCCACAGGGTGGGTTGCAGGCTGACTTAGGGCCTGGAGGTCAGCCTTGCACTGGGGCTGTGGGTTTTTGGATAGGCTTGAGTGAAGTATGTCCTGTCCTGGGGGTCCTTTCCTTCTCTTCAAAGACCTTGTTTCAGAGGAGTCGCTTCTGGGTCGCATTGCTAAATACCTCACTATCCTGAAGAACGGCCTGGATGGTGATTGGAGTCCCTGCCGTCGTGGGCAGGCGTGGGATGTGGTTTGAGGACCAGGTGGGGCAGGGAGAGGACAAGTATTTGGGATCTAGGTTGCTGCCCTAGGTTAGGGGCGGGGAAGTGTTTATTTTAAGAACCTGCCATGTTGTTAATCACTGTGATTTTTTCATTCCTTTTTCCTAAAATAATAATTTTTTCCCTCAGCTCTCTAAGCACTAAGGGCTGCAACTGAGAATGGTAGTGTTTTTGGTCCTTTGTGTCAGAACTGTGGTATCTTTGTCTTCTTTGATTATTATTATTATTATTATTATTATTTTTTAAAGTGTCAGGATGAATCGTCAAATGTGTGGCTGTGTTCGTCTTCTGCTTCTCCTGTATGGGAAGTTGTCTTTACGCCGTCAACTACTGTGGGGTGTGCAGCTGACTCAGTCCCTCTGAGCGGTGTCCTCCGCTTTGCCTGTCCCACCACACGCTGTATTTTCCCACTCTTCCCTTGTGGGGGTGTGCTCACCTGTTCCATCCCCCACACCCCCATGTTACCATGGGGGGACGCTGGTACTGGGTCTTTCCAGTGCTCCATTTTCTGCGACTACATGGCATCCTCGCTCATCCCCACCATCCCTACTCGGCCTTCCTTTTCGTCACCTAGGGATGCCTGTCCTCCTTGCCTCCACACCAGGGCGCTGTGCCTCAGTCCTTCACCTACCTCGCCACTCTGCCGCTGTCCCCATTGGTCCCTGGCTCCTCGACTACTCTTTGTGCTGTTTATTCTTGTTTATTTCCTTGTAGTCCCTCATTTTTTTCTCTCCACTCCCTTCCCTTTCAGCCCTTAATTTTTCACTTCCCCGTCCCCACCTCAGTACTCCTGTTGCAAACCCTGGTAAAATACCCAGATGAGACACTGGGATTCCTGGAGCCTTCTTGTCTGAAACGTCCATTTCCCAGAGTTCGTGCATCTCCCTTTCTCTGTTGGGCCCAGGTGAGCTCCCTCGCCCCTCTGTGGTGTCTGTCAGTCTGTCTTCTCTTTCCTCTGCCCTCCCCACGGGGCAGCATCTGCTGATGGATTCAGTCCTGGTGTGTGATTGTTGTGATTTGTTCTGTACGAGAAAGGCAGGGGGCTTTTTGCGTTCCCTTCCAAGTGAGATTGTAAATGTAGAATTTCCAGCTGTTGGATCTAGATTTTTCTTTTCTTTCTTTCCTTTTCTTTTTCTTTTTTTTTGGGTTACAGAGACCTTGTGCATGCAGAGACCATGTAGAAAATTGTAAAATGTAAATTTTTTTTTAATATATAAAAAGCTTGTTTTTACAGTTTGCAGTGGATCTAAACATTATGGCAACTTTAGGGATTTTTTTTCTTAAACATAGGAACTAAAACTGTACAAAATTTTTTTTTTATATAAAATAAAGACATTTGACTTTTTGTGGGGCATTCTGTTTTGTTTTTTTTTTCTTTTGCAGGAGTGGGAGCAGGGGAAGGAGTGACTATACACTCCTTGATAGAGAGTGAGTGGCCAGTAGGGGACAGTGCGAGCTCATCATTGCTCCGCTGTTCGTCCTGGTGAATGAAACGGGTAATTGCTTATTCTGAACACTGATTCTGAGAGGGAAAAGTGGGAAGTTGAGGACTCAATTAACCATACCCTGGGTGGGTGTTTGTAAGAATAAGGAGGAAGGAAAGACTACTTTCTGGGTAGATCATGGTTTCAGTCAATAGTGACAGCTCATCACATTTCCTTAAGAAAAATTCCTGAAGTATAATTTCTTATTTCTAAGTATCTTCTTATTTCTCCCATTATCTAGCTAATCCTTCAAGCACTTCACAAAAGACTATTCTAGCAATAGTCATCAAGTTAAAATGAAAACGTTCAGTTGACATTGTGCTCGTAATCTAGCACCAGGATCGCAAGCAAGAGATGGGCCCTTTCAGTTCTAACTGGACCCAAGCTTCTCTGTGACTTTGGGCAAAAATGTGTAGCGCATAGACAGCCTTCTCAGGTTAAAAACGAACAGGCAAATGTAAACTTTCCTGTGTGGCAAGTTAACTAGATTTAGCCTTCCTGTCCCCTGCCCCACGCTTCACCAAGCTCTGAGGATGCGAAGACATGCGACATTGTGTCTTGGAGGAATATCCAGTCTACAGGAGGTGCCAGACCGAGTAACCTAATGCAAGGCTGCTGGGTCCACAGGTAGTGCGCACAGGAGCCCTGGCTGGATTCCAGGGAGCCCAGGGGAGCTTCCCTCAAGACACTTAAGGACTTTAAGAATCAAGAGGGGTAGCAATCTCCTTGAGAGGAGGAGCTTTATCTGTTTTATTCAACTAAGTATTCGTAGCATCTATAGCAGGTCCTCAATTTAAAATATTTAATGGACAATGAATTAAAAAAAAAAACTAACAATACCATAGTATATAAAAGCGATCGTATGTCTGCTTCTCCTTTTAAAATTGCACTCAAGTATTTCCCATGTAAAAAGGCTCCCTTCCCCGTGCGGTGAGCGGCAGGGCGGCTGTCCCTGCCGCTTTTTACTGCCCTTTCCCATCCAAGGGGGGGCGTCCTCCACATGTCCCTTTGCCCACAGAGGGGCCACGAGAGGTCAGTGGAGGGGTCGGGAACTGACCAGACCGTGCCCCGCCCCCGGCCCGCCCCCAACCTTTGCGCCCCAGGAGGTCCTTTCCAAACGCTGGTCGCCAACACTGAGAGGCTCCGGAAAAGGAGCCGTGCGGGGGTTGGGTGCAGCAGGACCCATTTGCACAAGGAGAAGCCCCCCCTCCCCGAAACCCAGTGTGCGTTCCGAGCGCGCAGTGTGCGTGGCAAACACACCAGGAGACCGTGCTGGCCGGGGTGGTGCCGTTGTGGGGTGCGGGCGGAGCTCCGCTTCTGTCAGGTGTTCTAACCCACGGAAGCTGCTCACAGTTGACAAGCGCCCCTTCGCCGCGACCCGCCGAGCTGCGACGGGAAGTTGGCGCGCTCAGGCCAGCGGGCGGTCCCCCGCGGCCGCACACGCGCAGGAGGAGCCGCCCCGGCCCCGCGGCCCCGCGGCCCCGCCGGCCGGGCGCGCACCGCCACCCGCTTCCGCCCGGAACCGCCCCCGCGCCCACGGCGCCTGACCCGCGACGCGCTCCCCGCAGCCCGCGGGCAGCCCCACGCCCAGCCCGGCCCGCCTGCGTGCAGAGCCTGGTCCCGCGCACCCTGCGCCCCGCCGCAGGCCCACCGGCCGCACGCCTGCTGTCCAGGGCCCGGGCTGGGCGCGGACTGACAGCCAGTCCTGCCCCTTATGGCGGTCCCCTAAGGGCCCAGAAGACGCCCCTGGCGCCCTCAAGACAGCAAGGGGACAGGCCTGAGGCGGGACCCAGAGGCGGCCCTCAAGAGAGGCAGCTGGCGCCCGCGACTGTAAATAGCCGGGAGGTATACTCTCTTCCCGTGTGTTAAACAGGGACCCCAGGTGGGTGGCCAACAGGCACGCCCCTCCCTGCATCGCCATTTCCCTGCTTTGGGGGGGCGGTGCGTCTAGGCGCATTGCCTAACCAGCGCTCTGACCGGCAAGACCCTGCTCTCCAGGTTGGGATGGCGATGCAAAGAACCATAGATGAACCACGGGCTCCTGCGGGCTGCCCGTGTCCCCGACCCCTATCGGCCGGGGCCCTCACGTCACTGATGGCCTTGGGAGATGTTCAGGAAGGCGAGGCTCGGCCCACCGTTCCCCCTTCAGGAACCCAGTCTCAGGTGTACACAGGTTCTACCCCACTGCCCCCGGAGGGGCCGCCCTGCTCCCCGGCACTGGGGGCAGGGTGCCGAGGCGGGTGGTAGAGTTTCCATAGGGGTCCGGGTTTTGTCTTTGAGACCTGGGATGGGGTGGGAGGGAGAGGAATCCAGGTCCTTCCAGAGCATTTTGGCTCACTTTGGAGGGGAGGCAGAGAGAATCGGGTGGGTCTCTGCTGGCCTGGGGGTCGAGCCGCTCCTCTCTGGGGGTGTCTGAGTGAGAAAGACTTTGGGAAAGGTGGCGCCACGGCAGTCATTCCCCCTCGTTTGAGACCACAACCCCATTGGGCGAAATGCACCTCCTCCTGGCCCTGCAGGCCCATCTACCTCACAGGTTCCCCTGGGCACGTGACGCCTGGACCAGCGCGGAGGTGCGGCCCACGCGGGCAGGAAGCAGGAGGGCCCACGCCTGAACCTAGTGGGGTAGCTTGATATTTTGGACCCAGTAGTGTTTTTTCAGGTGCCAATCCCTTTCTCGATTGGGGTTCTGTGGGTGGTGCATAGTCCTCAGGGGATGGAGGTGTATATGAGGGGTGCGTGATCTGAATTTAGGGTAAGAGGTGTAAATGCCAGTTCCTCTCCTGGTATCTTCCAACTGTGGCTTCTATTGGATTTCATTTTGGACAGAGGGACTGAGGACCCCTGCCCTGGAATGGGAAGGGACCCAGACTCCCTGTCCCAAGACCCTGAAAGAGACTATCCCTGCCTGGGTGCACACCTCTATGTTCCAAAAACGTTGTCTCCCCACTGGGGTCTGAGGGGTTTAGATGGTGCTGGTGTGGGCCCAGACCTGGCCTGGCAGGATCCAGAGGCCAGTGCTTGGGGTCCTGGGGAAGGAGGCAGGGAAGCCCTTTTGGAGCTGGACAGGGGAGTGTTTTCAGGGCAGGTCCTAGCAAAGCTGGCCCATTGTACCCTCAAACCCTATGCCTTAGATGGTGGGGTGGGAGTAGGGGGTGGGCCAGATCCCATTTTCCTTTGTGTCTGCCTGGACATTACCCTTGATTGTCTTAGCCCTGGCCAGCGCCTGTCCATAGGAAGTGGACTTTGGGTCAGAGGGCCCAGGGAGCTAGAGCTAACCCCTGGTCCCTATCCAGTGTCCAGGGGCCTGGAGAGAGCTGTGTCCTTCCTCCCCCAAGGGGCCAGTGGTCACTAGGATTTGGTTCCAGCCACTTAGCTGTGGCATCTCAAGGGGGAACTGGGGAGGGGTAAGGCTCCAAGAGACCTGTGCTTTCTGGTGGCATCCCCTCTTGCTCTGCCTGGCCTCATCCTTGTATTTAATTAATTAAACAAGTTCATCCCCGTCGTCCCCTCCCCCGAACAAAATAAAAATAAAAACAAAAAAAAACTTCCCTTGAAACTGCACCCCTCATTCTATGGCTCTGTCCTTTTTGTAACTAAGCTTATAGTTTCAATTGCTATTACTGAAAGGAAAGGAGCGACACATAGCAGCAATTCACCGGAGAGTTCCGCTTTATTAGGGAAAGGTGCTGGGTTATATAGGAAGGGGCATGAATTGATTGAGGTGTCACTTCTACGGGGCTGGTGGCTGTTGGCTAGGTGCTGGGATTGGGAGGGGGGCGAGAGGTGATTGGGCTTCAGGTGGCGCCGGCGGGAACTGAGGACCCCGAAGAGAAGCCGGAAGTTTGCCATCTTACTAGTGGGGACCCTTCAATTACTAGTTAACCTCAAAGCCAACTTCGACTTACTGTGACTAAATTTCTACTCAAGCATGCTTCTGAAATTGTTCTTGCTCTTAGTGGCCAGTATAGTAAAAACCTTTTAGTTTAGTAAGCCTTTGTTCAATGCCGATGGTAGGTCCAGTCTGGTATGAAAGTGCTTGCATTGGTGAAGATAATGGATATGTTTCTGCCCTGTACCTTTGTGGACCCTTGAGGAATCTGTATTTAACTTCACAGACCTCCTCCTGTCCTGCTGGGCCCAGGAATTAATAGATTTATGGCAAGATATCAATACTTGATCTATGGGATCATAGTTTCTCTCGGTTTGCTGAAAACAGAAGGGGGTAATCCCGACTATTTGTCAGGTAACAAAGGTTATTTGTAACTGTCAGCAGAAAGGATGTGTTTCCACAGTATTGCCCGTATCACTGAAGACAGGGACTCAGCTTGGTGGATTGTCATGTCATGCCTGCAATTTCTTGACATTGCTGCCCAGATGTAATTTTCTAGTTTTTGCTTTTGAAATGCAACCAGCAGGAAAACCAGGGCTAGGGCTCTGAGGGAGGAGACATAAAAATCTTTAGACCCAGTTTTTAGTCAATCCTTCTAAATTTTTTTTAGGTGGGGGGTCAGTTTAATGGATTCTGAAGAACTGAACACCAGCTGCTTAAAATAGCTCTTGGCTTTTTATATGTTAATTTATGCATGTGATGGAAATACCATTCCAGTTGCCAGGAATGCACCAGTGGGAGAAAGTCAACTCTTGGGAAAACCATTACAGCCTTAGTGCACAAATCGTCACAGAGAGGTAGGAGTGGCTGTCTGCATAGTAGAAAGATCATGCAGCCATCCCTGTCCAGCTCCAGTTACTCTGTAGGCTGAAAATGGGGTCCATTTTCCCTTACTGCAAAGGGCAGGACAGACATGGTACCCTAAGAACTCATAACAACAAATGACAAACTTAAGTA